TTAAAATGGCAAAGTTTCGTTTAATTCTTTCTAGGGGAATTCCAAACTGCAAGCGGGTTTCTGTAAATATTTGACTGCAGTATTTTGTTGTGATAACAGTATTTTCATTCGAAAATTAGCTCAGATAAACCACGAGTTGAGCTGTTGATGCAATTGTACGAGGAAACTAGCTCGAACAGGACGGTTCGGAAGCTCATTTTTCTTCTTCTTGAATGTTAAGAGATATAATGAAGGTAATTTGAAGAAATTTCAATACAGTAGTTTTTTTTTTTCTCTCTCAGCGGAATTAATCCCAGATTAATGCTGACTGTAATCTTCTTGTACGGAAAAAGCTCATGCCCGGAGTTGGCATCCATAATTAATTTCAGGGATGTGTCAACTCTACATTCCTCACAGCTTTGTAGGATGCATTTCAACATGAAACTGGCGGGGTTTTAAGCCCAACAAGATATTTTACTCATACAAAAAAACTTAGGAAAAATATACATTTTTCATCCGGGAAATGGAAGAAATACTGCATTATTTTTGAATTTGTGTTTGAGCAAATTGGACGCATGGAAAAATGGGAAACAAATGTGTCACGCGTCATTCAGTCGGTTACTGTAAGGACGCAATCGTCGATCAAATCGTGTTATTTCTTGTGGGAAATATCTTGGTTTCCTTATTCCTCAAACTTAAACAATAAAAAGGTACTCAAAATGAATCGTTTAATCTATTGAAAGACTACACTACTGTACTCCGAAATTGCAAACTTGAATCAGTAAGTGGAGCTCTTCAATCGAAAATATAGATTCAGAGTTCCCTTTGAAATTATAAAGAATACGAACCTTGAATTGTTCCCGTCAGTTTATTTTCGAGGAAGCCTTTGAACCAAGATACTACAGTACTGCAATACAGTACTTTTTCACGGCTTTTCCATACCCTTCAACCCACAACCAAACTTCTTGAAGACCGCAGATAACAATGATCACGGAAGAAAAAAACGAGATAAATTAAAATTCCCTCTATACACAATAAGTTCATTCTACCAAGTCAACCTTTATATGTGACTGTAAGACCGCAGAGAACACAGTAGTGGGCCACATTTTTACAATAATATTCTACTTGTACGAGCATTTTATACAGCGTCTTTTCGAGCCATCCCGTGATCTCATTTCATCCAGAAATCGCTGCTACTTTCACTCATTGAAAATATCACGGTGAAAGAATGAATGAATGGAACTCTTTCAACCCAAACAAGACTTGAAGTCGATGGATTTGACAAGCGAACATAGCAAGAAAATTTTCGGAGATGAACACGCGAGCCTAATTTAATGAGTTCCATTTATTTTAAACAAAGACCACAACAACACAAATAGAGATATGAATGAGAGAGAAGACTTGAGACAATGTTTATGAAGCAGTAACCTAAAGACACAGCTGTTCAATAGCATGAGATTTCTTTCACGCGAACTCATTTAAGACAAAGAAAATCACAAGTTGCGCTTTTAGACGAGTTGGAAATTTCAAGTGCAAATACAATATCAAGCTTTCCTAATACTGTAGTAGGAAGATAGCTATAAAAGTTGAATGTAATGAAATTCTCGACAACTATCATGAAAACAGACTTGTTGACTTCATAATTCGAAAAAAATACGCAAATACTATTCGCTCACAAGTGTATCGCAGGTTATGATACAAAAATTTCAGATTTTACACATTCCGAACCAAAATTGAGCATGCCACTTTTTTCGTGGTGGGGGGGGGGGGGGGGGTTCAGTTGTTATCTTGAAAAACACGATTAATTTCGTCAAGATGAATTGATTGGCCACGAATTTGACGTTTCTCGTCCAATGTGATAGCCCAGGTCTCCTTTAACGACTGGTCCATTATTAATCTACGCTGATTTTCAAGAACCACCTTCCAATCATCCTTATCTATGAATACATTTGGAACAGCTTTCATTTAGAAAAACCTTACGACAGTACTGTATTCGGTTTCGTGCCCCTTCAAGATTTTCTTCTGTTACCATTTTTGAACATTTTGGCCCTGAAAAGCATCTTGCAATCCTTTCATTTCGAGTAACGTTACTTTCCCGAACTCATGCCGTCCATTCTCTGCGTAACTACAAGAAAACAAAACACACCGAAAAAATATATTCATTTTTAACCCTTGGAATGAAACTGAGGAATGATTTAGGAAAGTTTGGAAACACAATTTTTCGGACATTGAACCATTTGAATTCAAAATCGACTCCGCAACAGCAAATATATAAGAAAAAAAGGACAGAAGAATGGACAGAAGAAAGAATAATTTTTTACATTTACTAATAAAACAGGCGACTTCCTGATTTATGACATGCATTACGGAAAAAATGGTCATACGCAAGATCAATCGGAAGAACGGTGAGAAAAAACGCTGCTAATGCAATAATAAAACAGTAATATCTATTGTTTTGTGAACTGTCAAAAGATTTAAACGGCATAAAGATTATACTTCTCGGAAGAAATGCATGCTAAATTGAAAAACCATTTTCAATTCCAGGAAATGACGTGAGATATCATCTTAATTGTCCTCTTACTAAATCGTTTCTTCCTTCTTTGTCTCCCGTATTGATATCGTTCCCTCGGCGGAATTTCGTACATAGGCCGCAGCGCACATATACTGCGGCCTATCCTAAAATATCTCGAGTGCACGCAGTAGTCGAGATTCACAGCGCATGGTTAATGCCTCAGGTTCATATTCATAACACATTTCAGAGGAGAAAAAGAACAATCTGTGCATGAGTGAACAGAAGATTCAAAAATCGGAAACATCAGGCGAAAGATCTGAATTATGAAATAAAAAAGCAACGTACCGTACTTATCCAAAGAGCCATCCAAAAAATTTTCCATCGTGATGTGAAAAAAAGCCTCTTCATTCTCCCGAGAACGGAATTTTCCTATTGAGGTCATGTCACCAACAAAATTATTGTAAACAAAAGGATTCCCGCTTAATGAATACCTCAAGTTCCTCTGTTTTTCTAGCTTTGAGTTCCGATTATAGAACTAACAAAGCCAACTGGGATGGCTACGACGCTACGTACTCTGACTTGTGTTATGTTAAATATACTTACTAACTATTGTTTGGATGAACATCAGAAGAGCACACGACAGGACAGCAGGTAAACAGAAAAGCTGTTCAGTCAAACAGCAGGTGTCAGTATAGGCTGGCGGCTGGGTTATATCAAGTTAATTTTATTTAGGTTAGATATGGTTAGGTAGGCTCCGCTAGAATACTATTAGGTTAATTATTCGTACAGTAGTAAATGACAAAATAGCAGTACTCGATTTTCTGCGTAAAATTAATCAAGTTTGTAACAGAAGGAGATAAGCGGCTAGAAATACGATTAAATCAATACACAAGTAGAATGTAGCTTTTCTTTGTATTCTCAAGTCAGTTATCTATAAGGTATGCTGACTAAGTAATTTTTAGTTCTATGAAACTGTCATTTTTGCAAGATATAAAAATATAATCAATCAAGTCAAGGCTGCATGCAATGAAGAATCTAATATACGGTATTTCGAAAGACGGGTATCATTTTATTGTCCTTACTTGTGCAAAATGGCATTTTCTTGCGTGAAATTTTGTCTCACGTGTCCGATCACATCTCAGTAGAACTAAAAAATACTAGACAATTATTTTCAGGTTTCTCCGATTAAATGTGATGCATTTCCAGCAGAATGAAAAAAATTCTCACGGTGTGCGAAAGTCAGAAGGCATCCTGAAATACGCCGCGCAGAGAAACCTCATCGTTCCATCTTATGAAGCAAGAAAGAGCAGCAAAAACTACACAAAAAAATCTGCATCAAGATCACAAAGATCACAATGGGAAGTATGATGCGAAAATTTTCCACACAAACTTGCGGAAATTTCCAATTCGAAGCATGATGGTCAGCTGAAGTGAGGAAAAATCGATGACAGCTGTGTGAAGTGTGAGAAGTCCGCTATCCGAGGTTAATCACAACCAGGTCATAAAGAGCATAGAAAATTCACATGAACTTACACACAAAAAATCAAAAACTTGATCTGAACGAAATACAGCCGTTCGATCAAAATAAATTACAGGACAATTTATTTCCTCAGATTAACTTTGAATCCGATACAGTTATTGAAAAATCTAAATCTCAATTCCGTGGGTTCATTTTTCATACAGCCGCAATGGAATAACATACGTGCGGTACATTGTATTCGTTAGGAACTTATAATTACCGATTCGTCAAAGGTGCCTCCTGGGAAATATACTGTACTGTGAGGACTCACACTCATCATTTATAGACCTGGAAGACACGACGTAAATTTTTAAACAATTGTAAAAAGGACGCCCTTTTTCGACTGAACTAGATGTTACTTCGAAAGCAGGGCAAAAATATTTGGAGCGTGAGAGCCTGCCGCTGGTCAACAGTTCTTAGAGAGACCATATGAAATCCCAGGTTTTCTTTTCATTATAGACATAGACAATGGTCTTCTCCCAAAATGTTTCCTCCTTCGCGCGGCGTATCTCGTGTTCTTAATCCTGAAATGGCCGGGCATCAAACCCAGGGTGCTACCTATATATAGTCACATGAAAACTGTACGGTAACTCACAGCAACTGCCGTTTCTCTTGATTAAAATCACTAATAGGTATAATTGAAGAATCCCGGGGACTGCAGAAAAGCACGCTTTCGCACAGAGGGCAGGCACAAGACGGCCTTTTCTCCTTCTCCAACACAACGTCAGACGCGACTTGATCCACCACCGCACGGCTGGTTGCATCTGCGACTCGCAGTGGGAAGAAGGCACCACCAACTCCCACAACCCACAGGATGCAACCGGTTGGGCGTTCATTCGTCCCTCCCAAGGAAAGCACTTGTCCGCGGATCGCAGGGGACTCTTGATTACAACAACAAAAATGAAAGAAAAAGAGGGACACCGCAATACAGTACGTGAAATAAAACGAAGATGGGCGTGAGGCGGAGGAGAGGGAAGCAATGATATCACGATGGGGGAATCGCCGCGCACACGTAGAAGACAGTTACGCTGTGCGACTGGGTTGCTCGGCCGCCGCAACTTCACTGACCTAAAATGTCGCGGGATCGCCGAGTTTTTTCCGCCTGTCTTCAGCAGTGCGTGCGTCGCTGGCCAACAGCAGCATGCGTGTGTCTCTTTCCTTCCTCATTCATGCGGCCGAGCGGTGTTGAGCGAGTTCACACGAAACGGATGTGGCGTGGTTCGCATCTGCCTATACGGAACAGACGGTCAGCAGGGTTATTTCACAACACGCGGATGCCGACGTGGACGGAAGAAAGGTCTGTTCAGAAGTTCCCGCATTGACCCCTTTTTGAAGTCTGCGAAATTCATGCTCCCTTCAGGAATGTAGGGAAATGTTTACTTCATGTGTCGACTGACTGAAATCGGGAGCTGTTCCACCAACTTATTTCTTTTGAAAAAGAACCGACGTTCGCAAATTCACCCTTTGGGTCGCAATTTCTGCGGGATTCATTGCGCCAGGAATTTGTCGAAGAAAAGTTAATTTTAATAGGTCTGTTGACCAAAAATCAGAATCTGTTTCATCATTTTTTCCCGTATGTGGACGAAAGACCGAAATCGCGAATTGATCCTTTGGAACTCAATTACTATAAAATTCATGCAGCAGGAATGTGAAAACGTTTAAAAGATTTGTTCATTTTATGCGTCTACCCAAAATCGGAAAGTTTTGTCAATTTTTTTTAATGCGGATGCTGTTGATGAAAGAAGTTCTTTAATTGACCCTTTTAGCCTCACAGTCGACAAAATTCATGCGACCAGCAATTTGAAAATAAAGTAAAAATTCAATTTTTACGTGGGGGAAAAAATTGGAAGCTGTTCGCCGATTTATCATGTGGTTCATCCAATATTACTTTCAATTTGCGGTGATACTACAGACGAGATTGAAATTTGTTGTCCACAATCAGAAACAAAGGACAAATTAGGCTTGGATATCAATTGGGAAAAGTATGCTCAAATCTGCATAAACTAACAAACTTGAGCTGGGGATGAAAAGCGGCCTACTATTGACACCTAAAATTGATTTATATTGCCGCTTTCGGAATTATTGGCGTATAAAAATAAAATTATATTGCTGCTTTCAGGCAGGGACCTGAAAAGCAAATTTGCCACGGTATAACGATACAGAACTGCAGTGTAGTTTTTTATAACTAAATTACACTCTATTAATATTTTGAAGGAAAAAATTATATTTGACAAAATTCTGGGCAAATCCAATGGTTGTAAAAGAATCACGAAGAAAATTTTACATCGAATTTTGAAGTTTAAAATGGAAAAACAACTTTTAAGTGACCTTTTGTATTTAATAGAAGCGGGCAAATAGAATGAAGATAAAATACGCTTGCATTACCAACATACCAACCCAGGTGAGCAATTTCATTATACTGTATATGTTGAAAGAAGATACATCTTAATCAGCTTTATCCTCGCTTTACCTACCAGTACCCTAACTTCAAGAGACCTTCATTGTGATTTCGACCTACGCCATGAAAATGGATTCTGACCTGAGCACTTGATTTCCGGGCTAGTGAAATATGGGAAAACCACGTTCTATTCGTCGTGTTTCCGGTAGAAAAGGTAGTGATGCATTCAGCAAAATTTTCGTTGCTCCATCGGATGCACGATAATCGCCACAAAAAATATAATAAAAAAGCCTCAAAACAATACTCTGAAAAGATATCTCAATCAATTAACTTTTTTTTCACGCTATAAAGACTAATTCAAAGGCTTTTTCTCCTATTTCAAAAAAGACGCTGTGGAAGTCAAATAAGTTTTCCTTTCAGAATCCGAAGATAAGCTCATCAAGAAAAACTCCGATGAGACGATTCCGTCCCGGACCAGACCAAAACGCACACGACACTCGTCAACTTCGGATCAGATCTTCTCCCAGAGATTGCACCTGTCGAAATCCCTGGATCATCTCAGTGATAAAATTGCCAAGAATCGGCTTTCCCAGGAGATCAATTCCCTGGACCTTGGGCAGCTTGATCGGTGGTTCCACTCGGCGACGCACAAGCTTCTCACGCACTCGCCCGTGGATGCGCCACCGGAAAGCATCGTCCATCGTCGCCTTGCCCTCGTCCAAAGCAGAGTGAGAAGGTACAAGGTCGCAGGACTTCGCAATATTGCCAAAGGGAAGGTTTGTAAAAATACCTTTTTAATGTTTTTTATCTTTTTCATTACCTGAACCCCAAGGAGAACCCCGCTCGTCGCTAAAGTGTGATGAGATTGAGATTTGCTGTGATTATGAACTTGTCCTAAAGATTTGTCTGGATGGTATTGTGGTCTAGGAATGAGGTACTGAGATAACAGGAAAGTACTGGCATCAGGGTTCAATGCAGAGGGGTACAGTAATGCATACCGTACTGTTGTAGGGAAAGTCGCCAGGCCGGAAGGATTATTTTTCTGGGTTCCAACCTCAGCAAGGCATGTGATGATTTTAGTTTTGTCAAGGCCTTGTCAAAAATCGGTATTTCGCTCCTTGCTCTTGTATTGTGACCACAGGAACCCTGGGAGCACTCAAAATTTATTCCGGCTGGGTAGTGAATTACAATCAATCCTTGATAATCCGATTTTGTAAAGTCTGTGGATATCTAATGGGTTTATGGGTTTCACAAGGATTGGTGCAGTTTATTAGAAAACATATAATACTGTAATATGAAAATCAAGTATAATAGGAAATACTGTACAGTACTACTTTTTCTAGAAAAAAAATCGGAATATTTCTGGGATGTGTAAATTCCACATAGATAGCTACTGTTCTTAAACAATAAAATGTGTCATCACACATAAAATGTGTCATGCTAGTGTTTTTTTTCTTCAATTGGAGACCTCTCGCGGAAACTTGAATCATGTTGGCAGCCTATCAAATAAAGAATTAATCGGCACGAGAATATTTGAACTGTCATTAATTTGTCAGATGGTGTTTTAGTGAGATTTCAATGCTTCAAAGTGTTTGAACATTAGGGTCGATTCGTTTTTGAAAATAAATCGGCAGTTTCCAAGGGTGGCATATCATTTGCGGGCATCTTAACGGGGTTTGACTTTCGTATTGTTTTTAAAATGTGTATATACATATGTAAGACCCTTCCCATCATGCGTACGAAAAAAAAAAATTTCAAACCTTTCTTTGATCTGTTGTTTGTATGGTTGCTTTCGCAGAACCTCCGGGTCAGTCTAATCGTGAAAATCATTCATGAAAATTTTTAGGATACAAGTATAATACAGTACCGTATATTGCTCGAGTTTTAAAATCTCCCAGTTCTTTTACTAAATCAGGAACCCTACTAACTATACTGCCATACTACAACACTACCACTAACCGTACTAACCATACTACCATGCTAAACATAATAACACACTACAGAACCATACTAAAGTCTTTCATCTGAATGCCAAAATGTCCAGAATTTTTAAATCACAGAGTGACTTGAAGGAACACACCATTTTCGGATATTGAAGAATGTCGAATAGCACATGTTCTCGAAGTACTGTACGGTAAAAGTGTGAAGTATTACAGCGTACTGTAGTTTAAAATTGTGACATGATTTGAAATCCACAGTCTGAGCTTCGTTTCTCCTATATTAGCTGATATAACATTTAGTGCAGTGGGCCTGACTCAAAAAGAATAAGAAGACATTTCAATCGTGATGGTAAATTGGTAATCCAGCCATTTGGCCGGGAATATTGAAAAAGTTGACCAGACGTGATATTTCCAATTTAAAATGTCGAAGAAAATTTTTAATTATCAGCTCAAAATAACTATTCAATGCGCGAATCCATTTCCTAAATTCAGGTGTTCTGAGTACCCATTTCTTACTTTATAATTGCATTCCAATCTTATAATGATCCCCGAAAAAGGTGACTTCAGCGGAACTGCTTGCTTCTCACCATCGAAATTTATCGCTAGTTAATCCGAACCTTCTGACAAGTTGAACTTATTTCTCAAGATTGTTAGGGGCCAATGAACTTCGGTCCATTTTAGACAATGAATCTCAGTACTTCGTTAATCAAAGTGCAAAATGGAGTAGCAAGCAGCAGTAACACTGAGGTCGTGGAATGCATTCTCCCGACTATTCTATACGGTTGGCATCTTCGAACGAGGCATTTTTACCACGTTTTTATGAACTCACTTTCTTGTCTGTCTGTCTGTTTGTCCACCTCTAAAAGTTCCATCAGTTTTAAATGAAATATACAGGAAGCTAAACTGAAAGGTTCAAAAAACGCGCTTTGGATATAGTAACGGCTAATACGCTGGCTAAAAAAAAAAAAAAAAAAAAAAAAAAAAAAAAAAAACTGCTGTGTCGTACAGAATTCAAAGCACTTAACATTCATTTCAGATTGCAGTACTTTTTCTGGCTGGTGGAAGAGCCACACGAATGAATGGCGGAGCAGAAGTTGAACCGACGGCTCTGCTAAATCCTGGTTTGCCATCTGGCAAAACTTTACTGCAATTGGCTTTTCAGCGCGTCTTCAAAATTGCCGAATTGGCTGGAGATGAGCTGAATTTTGAGTGAGTTTCTCGTGCGAAATTTTTTTTCGATAAAAGCAGGACATTTTCTCGAGGAAAATCAGTTCTCTGCTTATAACGGATAAAATTCACGATTTTCAGTCAGCCGCCGCATATTCAGGCTTTGGTGATGACCAGTCCTTTCACCCATTCCAAAATCGTTGAATACTTGGGGCGGAATTCAAATTTCAAAGTTGTCAAAACCGAGATTTTCCAACAAAGTATTCAGCCGGCATTCGACGTGGATGGCAGAATTCTTTTCGAATCTCCGTCGTCGTTGTCCTATTTCCCGAATGGGACAGGTGGACTCGTGCAGGTACTTTTGAAGTACTGTACTTATAAAGAAGTCTTTCGAGTCACCGAGAAATATTCACAAAAGGCTGGAAAAAATGATGGAGTTTGTTAAGGTAGAATAAGTTTCTTGATAAAAAATTGTTATGATAATTTAACCTTTCATCAGCGGACGGAAATGCGATACGATAACTGAATATGCTTCTAATTTTGCGTAAATAGAATCGCACGGAAGTCTAGACAAAAACTTTATATTTTTCTCTTGTTGCTTTAAGCTTCGAAATCTCATTGAAATTTCTTTCGAACCTTTTCCTCAAATTCTCGAGTTTCCTGTTCAATTTTTTCTTAAAACATTATTGTCATTTCTGGGGTTTTAGCATAAACCCTCTTCTGAAGCCGTCAATCAAGGAAATAATAGCTGCTTCGATCACATAAATTATTAAAAATTGATAAGGTCTTTTAGCTTTTTTTGAACCTATGTATCAATTTTTTCAGCGAATGTTTGGGCCTCCCAGATGTCACAAGATGACCTGACGAACCCAAGGGTATCTTTTAAATTGGTTTTCCTTCAAATATTTTCCATGACGGTGATCGAAAAATGTTAAGATATATTAATGGGTTCAAGCATATTTTTCAGCATCCAATGTCAATGTGATAGGAAAATTTATCGTTGAAAGCTTGCCTCATTTTCTATGGGGATTCGGAAGACTTCTGAAAAATGCCTCGTTCGAAGATGCCAACCGTACGATTGAGAACAAAATAGAAAATCTATGGCAACTCTCAGCTGCTCTCATTTCAACTAATCGCATTTCAATAAAAAACTGTGATTCGAACAATTTTTAAATTTCTGATGGGAAACAGGCTCTTTCGGAACAAGGCATCATTCAGCGACTGAAAGAAGACGGGGTTGTATCAGTGCATGTTGTTGATCCAACAAACATTGCGTGTAAGCCATGTGATCCGTCCTTTGTGGGCTTTGCTGCTGCAACCAGAGCTGACTTTTGTGCTAAGGTATGCAAAAAATTCCAGAAATTTTAAACCATTTTTTTGCTAAATGTATCCGCTTCGATGCATGTCACTGTTTAGGTACCCATTTTGTAAGTACCACTTAATTGACCTAGAATCACTTTGACACATTAGACGTTCTGGGCTTAGAGCTTTTGTATATGATGTGTTCATTCACGTCATTTTTAATGAAATTGTAATAAATTGTACAAGCTTTAACTGTAGGATAACTTGCCCTTGATCGAAAAGGAGAAATTATTTAGGGGTGCTTAAGATTGGCAAAAATTATTTGACTGAAAACTGCTGTTTGTGACAAATACGTAGTAATGTTAGAGAGCATAACATTTCAAAAGTGCTTTCATTTACTTGTCTTCAAAAAATTGCGGGTTTGAGTTTGCTTCTCTTTCTGTTTCTTTTTACTTCCTAATACTGTAATCTTTTGTTGGCTGTCTTTCTTATATCTATAATGTTCACCCTAATTTCACAAGAAAATGTTGTTTACGATTTAAGTCGATCAGACGGAAATTCTGGCTGAATGTACTGTACTTGTCAAATCATATTTTTTGAAACATCGCCTAACTACATTGAAACTTTTTCTATGCCGATCAAATGCAAGCTTCACTGCATGATCCCCGAATCAATCGAGATTTTAATGTTGATGAAACGGAGCTTATAAAAAAATCAAGTACAGTTTAAGCCAACTATAACTACTGTATTTGTTTTTGACCTCATGCCTGGAATCACCATCACAGCAAAATCATTAGCGCAGGAAAATAGATCGCATCGTGAATGATTTGTTATTGTCGAGAAGTTATAGGAAACGCATAATTGATAAAGAAACACACGCCCATATGCACCTGTATTATATTAAAAATAATAGATTAGGAATGGCTTCGAGGAACCTTCGAATTTCAAAATGCCAGAAAAATATCATTGGAAACTTGAAGGGAAGATGAGCGGAAAATAGATCCCATTTTGGGATCTTTTTGTTACGTCCAAAGCATTTGGAATTTTCATTAAAGTTTGACGTTCGTTAAATAAAGTTTTGGATTATCATTCTTAGAAATCGTCAAATTTTTAAAGCTTTGAAAGCTTGCATTCATGCTCATCCTAAAAATACTCTGGACATATCAAGGGGAAAAATCATCGCCTATAACTGAGAAAGAAAATGCTAGTTGTCCATATGGTTTCACTCCGTAGAAACTGGAAATTTTCTGAATAATTCAGCGGATAAACTCAAGCTGTACATTCACATGAATTCCTTTGTTCTATTTGAAAGCTAGCAAAAGGAATTAATTTCCGCGAAGTTTACATCATGCTTGACCCGTATTTCGGGGTCATTCCGAATGTCCCATTTTGCAACGCCTGATTGAAAACAGATTCTCTTTTCAAGGTTGTTCCTCGCATTCTTCCCGATGAAGAAGACCTTGGCATTCTTGCCATTTCTCTCGAAGGAACAGCGGAAATCGTTCCACCGGAAGAACTGCCGGCGACAGTACGCCAACTGCGTGGCAATGATGCTAATTCCTCGGGTTTTGAACTTCCCTATGGAGCCCTCGTTGACGCACTGAGTAAGTATCTACTGTAGTGAGATACAGTAGTAGCTTAATATAAAAAAAGAATTAAAAACGCCTTACAAGGGTTAGTCTTGACGGTGCAAGCTTAATAGAAAACAATAAGTAAGCGTGTGCAGAAGGTCGTTTCAAAACTTGTCTCAACATTTCACGTCAGACGTGATTACGTTGGTAAGTTTTAAGTTATAAGTTGGTTCACAATGATTTTATGTAAGGCCTTAATATGCTGTATTAGGTTGGACTTTAATAAGCTAGGTTATTTGTACACTTGGACCCTTCCAAGTCGATAAACTCTCTTAATTCAAATTAATCCAATCAAGAGTGAAGAACAATGAATTTAAAATCTATGTAACGTAATTTTGGTTGTTTTTAGACTCTCTTTGTAGGTGAATTTCCCAAGGTCTTCGTGTTGGGTCTAAATTGTTGACCTCCTGTCGCGGAAAATCAAGAATAAAAGCAGATGAAAATAAAGCTTTTCACAGGAAATTGCACTGTAACTTCTATGAATAAGACAAATAATTGTCAAATAGGTCATACATTTTTTATTGATTAACATATTTAATTCAGACAATATCCATTGCCTCAAAAGCTGTGTCGGTTTGCTCGACGATATACTTTCTTGCCGGCATATACAGTACTGCACTTGCTCCTCATTATAGTGACTTTTACTTGTGCTGAATTACAACAACTTAGTGAATCATCATTTAAAAAGAAAACAGATCAGGATTTCTCGTCCATTATATAGTCATAAATGAGCTACAGGTGAGCCTCAATCACTCACGCCTCCATATGTGAAATATTTTTAAGTCCCTGTACGTAGTCCATCAAGAACAGTGCTTTCTAGACCTCATTATAACTTGAAGAATTAAATTTCTGCAGGTATTCGGGCTATTATTCTGGAGATCCACGGAAGAGAAAAGAAATAAAATGGAACTTGATACAATACTTTTAAAAAATAGTGACGACTAACAAAGCAAATGAGCCCTTTGCCTCCCAATTCATCATCGTACCCTGCCCACACATAGTTTAAGGCCCAGGCGAACACCAATTTCATCACCTTCCTTTTATTATTTTGCAAAAATGCTGGTTTCCCCAATAACTCAAAAACTCAAGCTGAATTTTTATTCATTTTGCTAGTCCTTCAGAGTTTGAGTCGTTGAAGACGTTCAACTGAATTAGTTTGCCTTCAGTTTCAGTAGAGCTATTGGAAAAGGTAGCAAATCTTGGAAGAGAAGCTTTGCCCACTCATGCCGTTCTCAAGCACCTCACGAAGCGCCAAATGCGTTTCGGGAAGAAAAGCACCGCTTCGAGAGGTCACGACTCTGTTGACCCACTCTCTCCAAACGCTGTCGTCCTGGAAAGGAATATCTGGGATGTCGTTCATTGGAGCAAAAGGTAAACTTTTAACGCATATAATGAGCCATTGTTATACGCTTTGTCGGAATTCAGCAAAGCTATCGACAGCTTAAACTGTATATGATGATGCAAACATTCCTGTGCAAGTTTTGAAGCCGATGTTGGCACGAAGCTTCTACTTTTTGGGAGCTTGTTTGGAGGTAAAATTGCGTTAGCTTTTTTTTTGCTTGGTGGGATTTTTACATGGTCCTGGGATAGTTATCTTACACGGAACAGCGGATGTCGATAAAGGAGAGCAACGACTCACGAAAGAACAGCACGACCGAAGTACCAACTCTCAGCCATCAAAAAAGTGCTGGAATTTTAATGTATTTTGGTCATTTGGTTGACAGATACATGCATGAAGCCAAACCCCGTTATTAAGACACCCCCCGAGAAGTCCCCACCCTCGGCAGCCACCCATTTATTTTGAAAATCAATGCTTCCCTGATGATGAAAAAAGCGTTGGAAACCACGTGAAAACGCTATCCGCCAAAATTATTGACGACTCGAATATGCTCCTGCCAATTGATTTTGCCTTTGACATAGCCTGTGAACAATAATTCAAGTTTCTCAAAGATGTCTCCAATTGAAAAAAAAAAACACAATCAGAGAAAGGCCATATCATTTATTTATCGATGGGAACATTAGCTGGATGCAGTGGGGTCTTGGTTTATGAACTGTAATCCTGATCAAAGTTTTTTAAACGAACAGTTTGTCAAACAAATCACATATCTGCCTTAAAAAAGTACCGGAATAATTTTCATTGGTCCTAGAATCTTCTAAGTGCCCATGAAAAAATGTTTACCCAAAATTTTCACTGGGCCTAAAATCCAAGCACTTTTGCTTATAAAAAAAATTAGAAGAAAATTACAATGAAGTGTTAATCAATACAAGAGCCTAAGATGGATCCCAGAGGGTGGGTGGAGTCAACATTTTATAAAAAAAATTCATTCAGTAAATTTTTTTGACCTCTTAGTCAATTCTTTCACACAATTCATTCACTCTGCACTTCTGAGGAACCTGTTTCTGTGCGTAAAAAAGAATAGAAGATGAAGGACAGGTGTACAATGCTATCCATATCCAGGTGCAAGATAAATAGAAAGCAAACCCAAAAATGGGAACACTGTCATGAAAAAAGCAGATTTAGAGAACTACCAATTCCAGACCCAAGAGGTCCATTTTAGGCAGCCCACATTTAAACCCCCGAAATTTGTAAAGCAAGTCATGGTTTGTTATCCAAGGCATTTGGGGAGAATATTTTGTTAACCAGGGCGTTTGTTAACTATGACCCAAAATGAAATGCATTCTAGGGTTATTTTGTATGTTTTAAAGAAGAATAAGAATTTTATTTGCTATATTACCTCGTATACCTGATATTCAGTTTTTTTGATTTTCTGATAAACCAGCAACAACCTCCTTTAAATCATCAACTCCGTTAAACCACCACAAAACCTCAAAAACAAATGGTGGCTGCTTATCGAGGTTGGATTGGAGTTCACATTTTTTTTTTTAGCTTTAGGAAGTACAAAATAACCGGACCAAACTGCATCATGGACAAAACATGGTACCCTATAAGAACCCTTACGATGAAAAATTAATTTTCTACTGGAGTCTTTAGCTTGAAATTTTGCGAAATTTCTTGTAACCAAATCTAAACTGCTTGACATATTTCTGAAACTATTTTTCACAAGCACCATTTGTGCTCTGCGCTGGTTTGTGCACGCGCTGCTTTCGATATACTGTATGCCCTTTTTTTTTACACATAAGCAGATGAGCGTTTCCTAAAACGAGGCTACTCTGAATTCACAGTAGCGTCATATTTTATAGAAATCTGAAGTATTTTATTTTTGGGATAACATAGTTTAAAAATTGAGTCGTAAAATTCATCATTAAGATTACCTTTTCAAATAACAGAAAAGGCAGATGCATTGTCTGCGTAACAATTATCCAGGTACAGTTTATATCACAAATGCAGTGCAGTATTCTGATTTCCTTGCTCTCTCTCTCAAAAAAAATAAAGAAAATGCTGCATAGAATTAGAGATTCCGAGAATTGGAGGAAGGTAGGAGATTCTAAAATAGGCATACGTCATCTTTTCAGAAAATAGGCCCAAGAATAAAATTTCGAAAAATACTGGGAATCTTATTTCATGAAATATTGAAAACAACATTTCTTCAATATCTCCTTTCGTCTCAAACTGGACACGCTTTCTTGCACCGTCTTGCTGCAAAAATATGCCAATTACGGGTGAGTCGATGAATTTAGCAAAAGCAAAAATCAGCAATTCCTTATTTCAGGGAACGCTATGATCCCGACCCCGACATTCGCACAGACTACGAGTCCTCATCGTCAGTGCTGAGCCCGGAAATTACTTCAGCTCAGTCGGAACACAAATCTTCGCCTCACGACACAGCCAGTCTGATTTACCGTATGAGGAAGCATATTAATTTTAATGGCGAAGCACACTATTTCTTTTTTTAAATAAAGTTCATTCAATTCACTGCATTACTTCAGACTCGAAATAGGTATCTTCTATAATGATGAACGTTTGGTTGAAAATCCTCTCAAACAGGCCCCGTTTCTGGGAAGTCGATCGGGCCGAGGAATATGCGGCGATTCGTCGACAGGATGAGAACCAGGAAACCAGTTCACTGAGTACCCCGTCGACTGCTCGTAGTATCTTGTACTCGGTACATCGACGTCAGATTTTGGCCTCATCTGGGTCACTGGTTGACTCTCTGGGTCGGCGTTTGTCGGATTCGAATAACGCGAATCAACGGGTTGAGCCCGCGGTTGAAATTTCCCCCTTAGTAAGTTCAATATAATGCTTTCCTTCGATTTATTTTTCTGTTCCATCGCAGACTGTATCATCAATTGCAAACATTTCAAATGGAGCCTATTTCTAACACCGATGGGTATTTGACAAAGGAAGAATCCTTCAGCATTATTCCGCGGGATGAAGTATTCCGCCAGGTCTTGCGAATTTTTTCGTTTGGCAAGTGCTACGCCTTCGTTCTTCGCTGCATAAGTTCTTGATCGAATTTACAAAGTCATAAATTAACGAATGCTAAAGTTAAAACTGTTGCAGTCGAACTCAGAGGGGACTTCAAGAAATTTAGACTTAATTAAAGAGCGTTTGATTTTGGGAAATCAGCACTTTTGCTGGAGAAAATGAATACTAGAAGGAAATTCAAGTTTGTGATATTCCTATATTTTCTTTGAACTGTTTGATGAATGAGTTCACAATTTTCTGTCACCTGATTCTGTGTAAAAAAAATTGTTATAATTTACGAAGTTCAATAATGCTTCAATTCGATTTATTTTTGTTCCATCGCAGGCTGTATCACTTTGAAAACAATTTAAAATGGAGCCTGTTTCGAACACCGAAGTTTATTTGACGGAGGTAGAATCTTTGCTCTTGAGGGAGGTATGCGGTATATTAAATTATTTATGAATCATGACTGAGATAATTTAGAAGAGACGATATAAAAATTCGATACTGTAGAAGGAGATTTTAAATTTCTCCCTATACAGCCTCTTAAATTAGCAAGTTCCAACTCTGTGAAGAACGATGAATATGATGAACCTGAAAGTCTTTGGCATTTCATGATGCCAAAGGTCTTTAAAATTTCCGCATTGATAAGTTCACTTATAGTTCGATTTTTGACTTCTTTTTCCAAGTAACGAACTGACCAAATTTCGAATTCCAACTCTTTTTTCACAAAATGTCTGACCAGGAAGATTCAGATGAAATATTATTCTAGGATGACTGTCAAAATTAAATTTCAATAAATTCAATGCCTTATTTCAATTTCTTGTTCCATCATGAACTTTTTGAACTGCCCGAAGTTGGAGTGTTAGGTACCTTTGAAAAATGACGGGTATGTCATAGCTAGTCTATTTGCCTTCACGATTGCGTTCATGGTCAATCTTGTCAGGATTGTTTATTCATTTCTCAGTCACAAAATAATTCGTGCCGAAGGTATCATACGAAGGAGAAAATCTGGGTCGGATAGTGAAACATCAGACAATCAGAGTTCCCTGTTTGCTGGAGTCGTCATCAGAGTTGAACGAGGCTCGACAAGTTTCATCAGAAGGCGTTTTTCCCGGGTTTAAACCGAATTTTCTTGGTGGCGAATATTCCTCTGCTTTGACCTCTGACACGACAATCGCTGCTTATTCAGCTAGCGTCGAACCGATTTCCATTCCTGACGCGAAATTCAGGGCTCAAAGGGCATGGTTAGTGACTCTTTTGTAAATAAATTCGGGGCCTGGTAATTAATTTAAAATGAGATGAAGCAGGAATCCGTTTGTGCTCCGAAACAGGTTCCGGATAATTATCTGAAACTCTTTTTCAAATGTATTCATTGAGCAAGAGTTCCGGTTTCTTGAATTGTTGGGGCATCTTGATGGAGATCAACTCCCAATTTTTCGAAGATTCTTCTGAGATTTTGTTTTTAGAACTGTTCGATAGATCGAGTCCACGATTCTGTACAATTTTCTGAATTGACTTTTTAATGGCCAATAGGTCAGGAAAATGTCAGCGGAACCAAAAAATACTTGCCCTACTCAAAGTAAAGAAAGACTCAGTTCTTCGAGCCTGAAAAAGAAATGCTCCAGATCTTCCAAGTATTCTTAGTTTGGAATATCTTCATCGCATGAAAGAGGATAGTCTCTTTGAATTTGGAAGAATCCGTTTCCTTACAATTCTAACCATTGATATCAGTGGCCTTGGAAATTCCCAATGTTCAAGATTACCACCATGAAAATTTTTAAGCTCCGCAAATAATGAAAAATTAACATCTTATAGGTAATTCATGCAAGTTAGTAAAACCCGGCATTCACCCTAATAGTATGCACAAATATTGCAGGAAATTCCAACCAAATCTCGACTGAGAATGAGTGTTCTGCTTCCGTTTGTTACTTTTTTGCAATCAGCAATCGGATCTTGGAGTCCTTTGAACTTCGGAATCCTTGAAGCTACTCGAGCTACGAAAACTTGTATCCTTGATCAGAAAATGTCAGCAAAAAACCTGGATATAAGCTAGCTTATGCCAAAAATTGCTTTCATTCAGTCTCTGAAATCTTATCGTACGTCAGATCCCCGTAATAATGCTCAAATGAAATACAGCACATTTAGTTTAAAAATTGAGTCGTAAAATTCATCATTAAGATTACCTTTTCAAATAACAAAAAAGGCAGATGCATTGTCTGCGTAACAATTATCCAGATACAGTTTATATCACAAATGCAGTGCAGTATTCTTATTTTCTTGCTCTCTCTCTCTCACAAAAAAATAAAGAAAATGCTGCATAGAATTAGAGATTCCAAGAATTGGAGGAAGGTATGAGATTCTAAAATAGGCATACGTCATCTTTTCAGAAAATAGGCCCAAGAATAAAATTTCGAAAAATACTGGGAATCTTATTTCATGAAATATTGAAAACAACATTTCTCCAATATCTCCTTTCGTGTCAAACTGGACACGCTTTCTTGCACCGTCTTGCTGCAAAAATATTCCAATTACGGGTGAGTTGATGAATTGAGCAACAGCAAAAATCAGCAATTCCTTATTTCAGGGAACGCTATGATCCTGACCCCGACATTCGCACAGACTACGAGTCCTCATCGTCAGTGCTGAGCCCGGAAATTACTTCAGCTCAGTCGGAACACAAATCTTCGCCTCACGACACAGCCAGTCTGATTTACCGTATGAGGAAGCGACTTTCAGCGAAACCCGAAACTCTGGCCAGAACCATTCCTAAAAACACCTTCAGTCGGCAGAAACCACGAGATGATCCACTGCTCAAAACCATTCTCGACGCCGTAGCAGCAGCAGAAACGCGACGGCCGCAGAAATTCATCCGCCGGAGCGTGATGACAGCAGCAGATTTGCAGGAAAACGTGGACCAGAACCCACCGAAATCCCCGGCAGAAGACAATTCCGGTGAGATGGTTATTAAATATATTTAAAAAAAAAGAGGTGTGATAAAATTGACGAACCAGCACGTGACGTGCTGATGAGCAGTCAATACGCCAGAACAGACCGCAAAGTCGCAGCAGTGGAAAGAAACCACAGTAACCAGCATGGGGATTCTGCTGCAGCAAAACGAAACTCCGGTCCAGTTCGCAAGCGGGAAACCCGTTGAAGACATTGTTGTGCAACCCGGGAATCAAAAGGCGAATCATTATTTTTCACTCGCTGACGACGTTTCCTCAACTTCGGATGCTGACGATAATGATGGTGACGACGGACGAGAGAAATCTGGACGCGTGATGAACCCGGATCCCGACGAACTGCAGAACATCTCGAAAGGTATGCTTTTCAAATAAATCGCGTTCCATCAACGGGTTTCTCAAATGTTTCATCGGTATTGCGAATCGTCGTACAGTATTGAAACGGAACAAATATCCCTTTTTTCAGAGGATTATTATTTTTCAAGTCTCCCATTCCGGCGAATAAAAAATGAGAAGAAGAAAAATAATTTATGGATTTGTTTGTCGATTTTGAGAATTTCCTGCAAAAAAAAAAAGAAGTGCTTATTTTCCCATGACTTCCTGGACAGAAATCTATTGATCAGAAATGAAAACTGTAAATGCTCTCCTGAAATTTGGAATTACGAATAAAGCCTCACCTGCATAAATCTCTTGAATTTTATTGGTGGCTTCGAAAGTTCTTGAGTACAAGTTTTAATGCAAATGTATTTTCTTCAGTGCATTGTTTGGTACTATAAGAAATTTGAGAATTCAGATGAATTTTAGTCATCACTCATCATTGAGAATTAGTTTGAGGCTTCGAGCCGTTTTAGTATAGAGATTTAAAGAACAATATCAGCTCAAATTGGAACATTACTGCTGAATTACGGAAAATTTTCCCGATTTTTTCTCACGGTAACAGTTATTCTTCGAATCATTTATGATGTCTCATGTCTCTTCTTGGAGCAAAAAAGAAAAGAGAAAATTCTGGCATTCATAGGATATCAGACTTCACGAATCAGAATTTATTTTACAATTCGATCCTCAAATTAAAAAAAGGTTTATATAAATAGGCGATTGCCTATCAACAGTTTCCAACACGCATTAAATTGCGTTAATGCGTGAAATCGATTGTGTCAGACGGGTGACATTAACAATTTCTCGAAATTCTCTCGGGAAGTATTCGTCTTACTGTACTTGAAAATAACCGGGGAAAATTGTCGCCTCAATTGCAGAAAACGAGTCGAAACCAGCACCGAGACCAAAAAGTCTCGAAACGTCTGACCACCAGCAGTTACTGATTGAAATCGGCAATCGCAAAACGATCAAATCTCAGCCAGGAAATCTCGGAAAGCGTGTGATGTTTTTCACACCTTCAAAAACCAAAGTGAACAAACTTTTGACAAAACAGTCGAAAGCAACTCGCGAAAAGTTTCCGTCCCGCCGCGGAAATGACGACTTATACTCCCAAACTGAAGTTTTCGTCCATGATTCGATGTCGAAAACGCTTCCGCATATGAGAGGCATTATCCGAAACAACCGCATTCGGTCTTCATCAGCATCAGTAGCATCACGGACAGCTTCTGCTGTTGCGGCCCAAAGATTCTCCACGAGAAGAGATGTCAGCATACATGTTGCAAATGGCAGTAAAGTCTTTCCTCTTTTCGTAGCAGTTGTTATTGTCTGCTAAGTTCGCTTTACATTCACTGCGTAACGTTTACAAAGGCAAAGGCTCCTAGGTAGTTTCAGACGCCGGTAGTAGTAGTCCACCACATAACAGCAAGGCTGAGAAATTCCCTGCGAAATCGTCGCAGCTGCAGCAGTGCCGATTACGAGATCCATCCGAACCTTTCTTATGAAATTATTGAGCTTTTCTCCATTGAAAACATCGTGACAAGATGAGACAAGTGATTTTCTCCGTTTAACGGTTCTTCGATTCCGTCTGAGAAAATTAATTGCGAAGCAGAAAAAATTCGAGAAATTGCTTTCCTTCTTGCCCCCAAGGACACGCACAACCGCTGAGAAAACTGAAGTTATAATCTCAGGTTTTTCAAGTACAGTACATCGTTATTTCATCAATGAAACGTCGAGTGATTTAAGGTAGAAGGTTCGCGATTTCTAAAATATCATTCTAAACAATTGACAACCATTTGAAAATAATTTAAAAGGGCACATTCAAAAAATCGTAGTGCAAACTACCGCCACCTCCTGAGAAATCACATCGCATAATTAGTTCATCGATATTTTTCTTTCTTTCAATCGTACCCGAACCAATAAAATTATAATCATAAAATTCGATAGCCGTCGCTAAACTTTAACCAGATATATTTTTAATGTAATGCAAAAGTGAAAAAGTTCCGGAGATATCGATGTTTAAAAAGCGCTATTTTTCTGGTCGAAGTATACAAGAAAAGGCATCATTTATTATACTATTCATAGCCATTCATAGCCAATAAATTCGTCGAATTATTTTTAAAGAGAACTGAAGTGTCATCACAGCACTTGGGAATTTTTTGAATAGTTTTGCACTGTTTAATTGTGCGATCTTTCAAGTACTTGAGGACTCCAAAGATGTCCTCGGCATCGATGCGCAAATAATGAATATAGCTGTCGTGATGAAACACAATCTTATATATACATTCATCCATGCAAATTGAATTATATTTGAATCCACTGGACACGTTCATGTATATTTTTTCTCCTGAAAGCAAAAGCATTTGAATTTTCCTGCGGTAATTATTTTTGCCTGTCTGTCGACTCCTCGGTATCCTACCTATAATCAATGTCATATAGTTCTACTATATTCGTAAGATTATATACTGTTCTCTTTTTTTTAAATTAAAAGCAATCCATTCATCAGCTGGATTACGTTGAAAGCATGAATAATCCCGCTCTGATTCATTCCCATCTGATAAAAATGTTGATGGAAATTTCTCTACCCCACACTTTTACTGACATATTTCCGATTCGATCGTCACACGCATTACTCCCGAAAGAAAAGACTCGGTGAATGCAGTTTCCAGAATAACGGTGCGCAGGAAAAAAAAAAAAAAAAAAAAAAAAAAAAAAAAAACAAAAAAGCATCGTCAACAATAACAGACGATTCAAGCGAAATGTAAGTGACGCATTGCAAATGTTTCCGTTTCCGAGGATCCATCAAAGTCTGCGGCCATCATCATCAGGTGGTGTATTGTCGTTCCGACCGAAATTCCCTGCGAAAATCGTCGCAGCTGCAGCAGGGCCGATTACGAGATCCATCCGGACCTTTCTTATGAAATTATTGAGCTTTTCTCCATTGAAAACATCGTGCCAAGATGAGACAAGTGATTTTCTCCGTTTAACGGTTCTTCGATTCCGTCTGAGGAAATTAATTGCGAAGCAGAAAAAATTCGAGTAATTGCTTTCCTTCTTGCCCCCAAGGACACGCACAACTGCTGAGAAAAGTGAAGTTATAATCTCAGGTTTTTCAAGTACAGTACATCGTTATTTCATCAATGAAACGTCGAGTGATTTAAGGTAGAAGGTTCGCGATTTCTAAAATATCATTCTAAACAATTGACAACTATTTGAAAATAATTTAAAAGGGTACATTCAAAAAATCGTAGTGCAAACTACCGCCACCTCCTGAGAAATCACATCGCATAATTAGTTCGTCGATATTTTTCTTTCTTTCAATCGTACCCGAACCAATAAAATTATAATCATAAAATTCGATACCCGTCGCTAAACTTTAACCAGATATATTTTTAATGTAATGCAAAAGTGAAAAAGTTCCGGAGATATCGATGTTTAAAAAGCGCTATTTTTCTGGTCGAAGTATATACAAGAAAAGGCACCATTTATTATACTTTATTCATAGCCAAGAACTTCGGCGAATTATTGTTAAAGAGAACTGAAGTGTCATCACAGCACTTGGGAATTTTTTGAATAGTTTTGCACTGTTAAATTGTGCGATCTTTCAAGTGCTTGAGGACTCCAAAGATGTCCTCGGCATCGATGCGCAAATGATGAATATAGCTGTCGTGATGAAACACTATCGTATATATACATTCATCCATGCAAATTGAATTATATTTGAATCCACTGGACACGTTTATGTATATTTTTTCTCCTGAAAGCAAAACCATTTGAATTTTCCTGCGGTAATTATTTTTGCCTGTCTGTCGACTCCTCGGTATCCTACCTATAATCAATGTCATATAGTTCTACTATATTCGTAAGATTATATACTGTTCTCTTTTTTTTTAAATAAAAAGCAATCCATTCATCAGCTGGATTACGTTGAAAGCATGAATAATCCCGCTCTGATTCATTCCCATCTGATGAAAATGTTGATGGAAATTTCTCTATCCCACACTTTTACTGACATATTTCCGATTCGATCGTCACACGCATTACTCCCGAAAGAAAAGACTCGGTGAATGCGGTTTCCAGAATAACGGTGCGCAAGGAAAAAAAAAAAAACTCAGCCACTCACTTCAGTTCCTCATCGTTGTTCCGGGAGATTAAAAAGAACGCGAATAAAAACAAGAAGAAGAGAAAAATAAATAAATAAATACCTAAGTAAAGAGAAGCAGACAGGAACGTGTCGCAATGGATCGTCAGTCAAAAAAGCAGTCGTTTGATTAAAAACGCGGGTATAGCTATGCTGCGACGAACGTATATACTCCGAAGGTGGTCATCGTGATGGGGGCTGGTGGGGCGGGGCGTGGTGGCGGCGGTGGCGGCGAGTGTGAGGCGAGGAAAAGGCGCGCAGCAAACCACAGGAGCGCTGCGCAACACTTGCGTAATAACCCACTCTAAAGCTGACGCATTACCGTCGACTTCTTCTTCGTCTTCTTATTCTTCCTGCTCATGTTTTTCTGTGTCTTTTGTTTCTATATGTCTCTTCGGGGCTCACCCAGCACTGTCGTTTTCTTTAATTTTGCCCCTTTCTCGTTTTTTCCCCCTCCTCTTATTTTGGAAACCATAGATGGCATAACCACTCTGGTTCCCTTTTTCTGATATTGTTATTGGTGGGCGGAAAAGAAAAAAAAAATGAGAGGATGAATGGAGTTTTCTCATACTGTATTTATTAGTCGGAAAGACGAGATAACTTTTATTATATCAGTCGTGTACGTGTATCTTGATTTTCCCGGTTTTGCTTCAAACATTAAAAGATAATGCTCTTCGAATATTAGACAATATTCAATCCCATTCAATTCTTTTTTGGTATCAGAAGTGCCTAGCTGTTGATTCTACTCATCATGATTTATTTACCAGCTGCTTCGTCTTCAAAAGCGTATATATAGAAAACGTTTCCGGTGACTGAAAATGGTCGTAAATATCCGGGTTTTGAAATTTATAAAAATGTTACTCGTAAGACTGAGTTCATTAGAAAGAATCACGCACTTAATTGACGTTCAATTCTTAAACCCGCATCGATCACCTTACTGTATTTTGAAGTTGTTTTCCGAAAAGTAAATCTCATTGCTGGTGAAAAAAATCAATTTGCTGAGTTCTTCTTGAGGAATAATTTTCGGAAACAAGAGGCGAAACTATTACACATTATACTGTATTCCGTCACGTCTCTTTATTCGAAAGTATAGAAAGATTAACATTTTATTTTGTTTTTGTCTGAAGTCAAACTCAAATCATCTGTGGGCTAAAGATGTCCGTTTCATTTTTAATTATACCAAAATTTCGATTGATAGACCATATAAATGCATATAATTTATTCTTGGAGCTATTATGTCTATGTCTAATCGACGAATTATGAACACAACTTTATGCCATGATCAAATCTTCTGAACAGGGAGATCTTTAAGGAGTGAAACGACGATGAAGTTAGACTCATAATAGTCATGCATCAGAAGTGATTAGCGAAGAAATTAGAAGACCTAGTGATTTTGGATTCGCAGCGCCTCAATTTGATAGCTCTTCATCGAAAGTTTGAATTGTTTGTACTTTATTGTAGGTATTTCAAAATCCTTCAAGTCAAGTCTTGAAACATGAGCTCAACGAATCATCTCACACACGGCGAAGTCTGACCGGGTTTAGCCTAAATTAAATGTTTGTGAACCCACCATGCATGATGAATACCTTGTAATTCATGCTTTACTGAATAAAAATTAGAAAGAAAGATGCATTTTTTCGTGATATATTATTTTTACATCAAGCGATGAAAAGAGCTGAGAGTAGATCAAAATGTTGGTCATGTCTCGTAGGAAATTGAGCCTCAGTATGTCATCATTGCTGGAGGGAAAAACAACATAAATATTGTTCTTTTGTCTTCATGAGAAGCGGAAATCGTGTAACCAGAAAAGATGAGGCTAGATTACCATTTTTATGTTCTTTTTATGTTCTGCAATATATATATATACAGTCGCTGAAATCGTGAGAAAATTTCCTTAAGCAACCGCACTGTGCTACATCCCATCGTTATTGACTAAAAAGGGAAAGCTTTTGTTTTCTCAGTCACAGAATTTGCATACCGAAGCACGCGACTTATGAGTTTGGCGATATAAAACCAATCGCTTCTTCTTTTTTTTTTGTGAGTATACGTGAGAAAACCCTGCGGTGTTTTTGCTGGAGAATTTTCGGACATTTGTCTGTCAGGCCCCCGAGTAAACGGATCCTGTACGACGCTTTTAAGCCGCTTTCTTATACTCGTGGATGCAAATTGGGTTCTATATATACGAGTTTCCCGACCAGGTTAGGTTGAGAAACAGGTCACTATATGTGTTCCGGTTTACTTTCCTCAACCTTGACGAAACCCGAATAAGCTTCCCGAGTCTTGACATCTCATCGTAGAAGACGATTGCGTCAGTAGGGAAAATTTTGGAAACGTAGGTTGAAGTCTTTTCACCCGGGCTTCACGGGCAACTATAAAGCAGAAGCAAGTTTTCACTTGACGACTTAGCCTTTCACTTTCCACGTGGCCTTCGTTTCCCTGCGTTCAGAAATTTCACCAATTTTTTAAAAGGCAGAAGTTTCGACAGCATTTTCGTAATGACGCTATATAGGGGATACATTACTATAGCAAGATTTGAAACACGTGTGTCTTAATTCTTGCTGACCATGTTTCATTCTCGAACATGGTTTCAATTGCTACACAATCGGGAAAATTTAAAATTCAGCAATCGATATCATGAACAGTGAAAAACTGCCGAAGTCAAAGCTTTATTACCGCAACATTCATAACGCCGCTCTTTCATTAATTGACGCATTTGTGTCAGTTTTAAAAGTTCGCCAAAATAGTACATACTGTGAATGAAAGTATTTTGTTTACAAATGGATGTGATTGATTTTTCAATACTACGCTCTTTTTCCTTCATTTAATTATTGAATGCTTCAATGCTGAAATCGGAACGGTGGTATAAGAAAATGGTTTCAACATTACTCCATAAATCTTTTGCCAATTGTTATGTACATCTGGGTAAATTAATATTCAAAGAGGCATGACAATCAGGACGAAAGCATAAATAAACAAAAAGAAATTGGAACCAACTCAAGTACACTGGGAAAAAGTCATATTCAAACAATAATGGGTTCTTTTCTCAATTATCTTGATTGTATGGCGAATTAAGAAATAATTTAGTCTTCGTCGTTCAAAGTCGTCTGTGCACAATCCCGAGTAAATAAACGTATTCTCTTGATTCTCAGGTAAATCCATAAAGCCCCCCCCCCCCAAGTACATTACAATATGCAGTAATGTATAAAAAATTGTCTTCCCATTATAAGTTCATTTTCCGTCCACCAGGTGGTGTGGCACTTTCTGGAAAAGAGGACATGAAACGCCTCCAGCCCCAGTCAAAATAGATTATGGTAAATACGAAGGGATTTTAATTTTGTCTTAACGGACATTTTAAAAATTCGCGTTTTTTCCCCCTAGATGACGAGAGAGAGAGACGTGGTCATAAAAATTCAAATTGATTCAGGTAAGATTCTCTCCAGGACTTCTCCTTGATGTCTTTCTCTCGGACGGTCAAAATCGGTACTGATGTTCCTCCGTGGTCGTGAATCAATGAACAATCGCGGATTTTCTGCAAATAAAAAAGGAAAAGTACTTCAATAAATCACAAAACTTTGCTAAAGCAGATTCAACAAAGCGGAATAAAAAATAAGAATTTTTTCATGCTGTGAGAAGATATGCAATAAAGCTAAACAAAACGTTAAAAAAAACTTTCCAGCTGAAGTGCAAATAATACATTTTCCGAAAAAGAAAAGCTACTTATGGGGTAGTTATCGGAAGAAATTTCTGTTCTACATTTTTTTTATCAATCAGACAAAACAAAGGGTTGAAAAAGTGTCAACTTGTCTTCAGATGAGGAAAACAAAAAGCGCAGAGAAAATGTCTGACTTTGTTTCTTTTTTTTACGAAGGACGCATAATACTGTACTGCGTATGCTAAGCTATCCTGCCATCATCGCAATTTTTCTTTTATTTACGATTTTTTAATTATATTACATTTATCTTATTATCATAAAGAGGTCATCATAAGCGATACAAAAACGTTGCCTGGTTGCCCATTTGAAAGTAATTTTGTGATAGAGAAAACTTTTGAAACAATTGTCTTCTCTTGAACCATATTGTGAGATTCAGCGGCTAAAAAATCGACAAATTTCCCTCGCCCATATGTGGCAAACAATACAATTCATTTATTGCATCCTTTTGAATAATAATTTCGACATTTCCTGTTGAAAATTTCCCCCCATTTTTCTTACTCAAGTAAAAAAAAATTCCACGCTTTGGCGCAGAAAAACCTCCGTTACAGGGAAGCAGCAGTGCCGTCTATTTTTTTTTATTGTGAGTATTGTGACTGAAATACTATCTCATTGTGCTCTCTAAATTTTGAAAATTATCCCCTACATGAGTTTCTCAACCAGTGACGTTTACTGGAATATAAAAATTACGGAAATATTGGAAATGTGCAGTCAAGTGTCATTTTAATCCGAAGGGAAACATTAGAGGTTCGATAAGAGGAAATCCCGAAAATTTTAGCCAAGTTTTTTAAACTTTTCAACTTCAGCAGTTGCGAACTCGATGAGATGTTCTATATTTGAGGGGCTTCGTTATACTAATGAAGTGCATGTCTAATGAGCATCAGAATTAAGGTTGTGCGAGGTTTTTTTTTCAGGAAGGCAATCAGGCTTCTTACCCGGTATTTGAGCAACGCTTCCATCCGTTTCCGGGCAGAAATAGTCGTCTTGCCCTTCAGCCTCTGAGCGAGGGCATCATCATAGCAAGGTCGGCACAGGAACTGGGTTCTGCTCGCAGTGTAATAATCGCCGACGGGTTTCCCGTCGCACCCGTCACACAAATCCCGGTTGTCCACGACACACTTCATCGTTACTGGGGATAAGATGACCTGTTTTCCGCCGAAAGAACCCAGTTTCAGGGGCAAGTGTTCAGCACGGAGACGACGGATGTCTTCTTGGGACCTGTAAGTTCCTGGCCTGGGGGAATCGGGAACAAGTATAGATTTTATTCTGGAATAGTCACTAATTTGGGAATAAATCGAAAAGTACTTCTGGAAAATTCGCGTTTCGATGCATCCAAATTTCCGACAGCGGTTATATACTTTACTCTATATTTATATCGATATTCATTTTCATTCGCACCATGCACACAAATTATAGAAGACGACATCAATTTTTGAGTGTACACCTCCATTTTTTTGCTATAGAAATCGAATAAATTAATTTAGAAAATATAAGAAAAGCTGCATTTTTAACTGGCGAAATCGAGACCCCTTTTCACTTGACGCATTCACTTCAAAATTAAGATACGAGACGTGCCATGTTATTTATTGTAAGGTCGAA